TTTTCTCAAACTCCTTCCAAGAGCATGTGCAGCATGTACACAAGGTCCTACGTCATCTGCTAGATAACCATCTATACATCAAACCAGAGAAGTGTCAGTTTCATGTCTCCCAGGTGAAATTCCTGGGTTTTGTTATTGAACCAGGACAAATCCAAATGGACCCTCAAAAGATCCAGGCAGTGGTGGATTGGCCCTCGCCTTCCTCGGTCAAGGAGGTACAGAGGTTTTTGGGGTTCGCAAACTTTTATCGAAAATTCATTTTGAACTTCAGCACTGTGGCAGCCCCTTTATTTGCCCTCACCAAGGGGAACATGATCGGGTTTCGGTGGGGACCTGAAGCTGAAGAGGCATTCAAGATTCTTAAGAAGCGGTTCACTTCAGCACCTATCCTTCTTATCCCCAATGCGGATGAACCCTTCACTGTGGAGGTTGATGCCTCTGAGGTGGGCGTTGGAGCAGTGCTATCGCAAAGGGGTGAAGATAAGAGGCTTCATCCATGTGTTTTTCTTTCTCACCGTCTCACCCCTACTAAGAGAAATTACCATGTGGGAGATAGGGAGCTGTTAGCTGTGAAACTGGCTCTCGAGGAATGGAGACATTGGCTAGAGGGGGCGAAACACCCATTCCAAGTTCTTACTGACCACAAGAATTTAGAATATATCCAACAGGCCAAACGACTTAATCCCCGCCAAGCACGTTGGTCTCTATTCTTTAACCGATTCCACTTCACACTCACCTATCGTCCAGGATCTAAGAATCTGATACCTGATGCACTGTCCCGAGTTTATGTGAAGTCCCCGCAAGAGGACTGTATCAGACCGATTGTCCCCAGCTCTAAGATAGTAGCCCCCACCAGGTGGGAGCTGGAGGGTTTGATAAGGAAGGCCCAAACTAAGGACCCAGAGCCAGGCGGTTGTCCTCCCAACTGTTTGTATGTCCCTAGAGTTGTTCGATCGAAAGTCCTCATGTGGGGACACTCGTCACAGCTTACTTGCCATCCGGGCTCTGCCCGTACCCTTGAATTCTTGCAAAGACGATTTTGGTGGCCAACCATCAAGGAAGATGTGATGGCATTTGTTAAGGCCTGCCCCACTTGCAACCAAAACAAAAGTTCCCATCAGCCACCTCAGGGATTTCTCCACCCACTCTCCATACCTCACAGACCATGGTCTCATATATCTATAGATTTTATCACTGGACTTCCCCCATCCCAAGGAAACACCACTATTTTAGTCATAGTGGACCGATTCTCAAAGGCCGCCCGCTTCATTCACATGTCTAAACTTCCCAAGGCCAAAGAGACGGCCGAACTAGTCATGAACCATGTGTTCAGAGTCTTTGGCATTCCCCAGGACATCGTCTCAGATCGGGGACCTCAGTTTTCCTCCCGATTCTGGCAAGCGTTCTGTCAATCCCTAGGGACCACTACAAGCTTATCCAAGCCAAAATCTTTAAAGATAAACCCTACCTTCCATGTGTCTTTACTAAAACCAGTTTTGTCTTCTCCTTACTTTGTGACAGGTAAACCTCCCCCTCCTCGTTTTGTTGGAGGCCAAGCAGTCTTTACAGTCCGCCGGATACTGGACACCCGTAAAGTACGCAAAACTCGACAGTATCTCATGGACTGAGAATGCTATGGCTCTGAGGAGCGTTCCTGGGTCCTTGCCAAGGACATTTTAGATCCAAAACTCATTCAAGACTTTCACGCTCTTAAGATGAAATCACTCGGCAAGAACGCCAGGAGCCGTTCCTAGAGGGGGGGGGGGTCCTGTCAGGGTTTTTGGTTAATTTTTCATGTTTTTTATTCACCACTAGATGTCGCCATTTCAACTTTTCTTTTTTTTTTTTTTTGGTTACCTGTAATCACCGAGATCAGTTTCACATGTTCCTTGTTTAGTTGTTTGTATAAAAGTAAGCCTTTTTTCCTCTGTTCTTTGCTCGGTTATTGTTGACCCATGCCTGTCACCTACAGTGAGTCTTTCTTTCTCGTTATTTGAGCTTGTTCTCTTGTATCTAATAGTCCTTGGAGTTTTTTGGATTTTTTCTGTTTAGACGTTTTTGCCTGTCTAAGTTGATGTCCTTTTTGAAACCTGAAGTTTCCTGGTCTTGTTATCTTGTATTTTTTGAAACCTGAAGTTTCCTGTTTTTGTTAACAGTTTTTTCATCTTCCATCTTCCAGTTTTTTTCAACTACCACTGGCTCAGTGGTAAGGAGTCCAAACTCACACGCCAGGGACCTGGGTTCGATCCCTGAGCCTGACACCTCTAGTCAGATTTTGGTCAAGTTCATGGATCGCTGGTTTACATTTAGAAATACAAGCGCATCAACGTGAGAGGAATACAGATTGCTTTTTGTCTTGTTACAGTGTTGCTGGCCAAAGAAAATTTCTTTCACTTCATGCTGGTGGCAGGGATAGCAAGAAATTATTTCGCTAGCTTGGATAGTAGAGGAAACTAATGTTCATTACATAACTTAGTGTTTCCAGTAGGACTTTTTCCAGCTTTGGCGACAGGCCATTTTTATACAGATCTACCAAACACATATGGCGTTATTTCAATCGCTTTGCTTGCGCACAAAATTATTAAGATAAAGTCATAAAATGCAGAGCAATAGACCTTTACTGTATCTATAAAGTATACTTATGAAACGTTTATTCTAACTGAAAGCTATACATTGTGTTTGCTGGCCTCATGCATCACGCACCTGTCAGTCAGTGAGCACGTAACTTTTAAGGGTTTAACAAATGACGCACACAGTAAAGTTTGCGCTGTTATAATTCATATACCTTTTAATACGTTTTGGTGCGATTATAACATGCTATTAAAAAACACTACTGAATGTTTTGAATGGGAAGCTGTAATGTTTTTTGGTGTGGCGCCCCGCCACAGAAGAATTAATGTAGCAGAAACCATGTGACTACTATTCGAGAGGATTCCCTGTGGTGTTAATGTTGATAATGTAAATAATCTTGAATTTAATCCTCAGTTGTAGTTGGAAGTTTTAACCTTGGATAGTGATGTTTGTTGGATGCGTATGTCTTTTTGATGTTATTTATGGTAAATGCACGCTCGAGTAGTTTATTGCTCAACTAGTCGACTAGTCTATGCAAGCCCTAATATATATATATATATATATATATATATATTAAATTAACATTTAAAGGCTTAACTAGGTTAATAGGTTAACTAGACATGGTAAGGCAAGTCATTGTATAATGGTTTGTTCTGTAAAATTGGAAAAACATATTGTTTATTGTCTTTTTTTTTTGAGAATAAAAGTTCTCAAATCTCCTTTTTTATCAATGTATAATTAAAGTATACATAATACATTCTGAGAAAGTAACTAGATTAGCAGAACATTGAATGAATCTCGCACGTCAAGATAAAATAATCATTTTAATAAAATAAAATAAAATTATTTTACACACAAGTAAACTCTTTAAACTGAAGAAAAAATAATAATTTAGGCTAAATAATGTTGAATGAAAACATATTCAGACTGCAAGCTATTGATGAATGTTTAATTAAACATCTAACTTTCTTGCTATGCTGAACCAGCTAGCCAACATTAGCTTGCAATAGCCTATTTTTTTTTTCTTTATTTACCTTCATCTTGCTATTTTATTCTCTTTCTTGGTTTTCTTGATTTTTTGTTTCATCTCCATCCTTTTCCTGAAGGAAATGTCCTTTTTGTGATTATGGAGTGTTTTGCAGCAGTGACGCTGCTGCTTCAGTTAACTTCAGTAACATCATTAGTCATAGTTGTGCATGCATCCTGTTGCAGCCTTGCATTTCTTTGCATTTATTTGCATCGAATAATGCATGTAGTATGCATTATAATTACTGCACACTATGAATATTTTATTAAGCATTAGAAAATAGTTAATCCCGTTAAGCATTCATTTTATAGATGTTAGTAAGCAGTTTATAAATATGTCTACACATGCTGTATTCTTGACATGCCCATGCATATTGTGCTTAATGTTTTTTTTTTTTTACTTTGTTAATGATTCATTTTTCATTACTAAATTAAGTTTTGCATTATTTACAAACCAGAGCGCTATGGTGGCTCAGTCCTTAGCATTGTTGCCTTACAGCAAGAAGTGTCGCTGGTTCGAGTCCCAGCTGGGTCAGTTGCCATTTCTATGTTGAGTTTGCATGTTTTTCCTGTGTTTGGGTGGGTTTCCTCAAGGTGCTCTGCTCCGATTTCCCCCTCAGTCCAAAGACATGCATTATAGGTGAATTGAATTGGCCGTAGTGTATGTATGTGAATGAGCGTGTACAGATGTTTCCCATTACTGGGTTGCAGCTGGAAGGGCATCCGCTATGAAAAACATATGCTGGATAAGTTGGTGGTTCATTCCGCTGTGGTGACCCCTGATGAATAAAGGGACTAAACCAAAGGAAAATGTATGAATTATTTACAAATCAGTTTAATAGGAATAGTGGGTGTTTTTTTATCATTTAGAATGTATGAATGATTAATAAACTATTCAAATTAACATTTATGTGTTATATATATATATATATATTACTTAGCATATAGGCCAAAATAATCCTTTTCTGACTGTGTAGGTCAAGTACTTAAATCAATTTTCTACTTAAATTGCATTTCAGAGATGTACTTAAAAGTAGACTAAACTTTTACTTTCCTGTTGTACGTTAAGCTATTTTAATCATTTAAAAAAATACACAATAAATTATGTACATATTAAACAGTGCATGAAGAAAAACTGAACAGTATGGTGTAAAATAGTATAGAAATGAAGACATTAGAAATTATTTAACAATTACTGCAATGAGAAAAAAAGAAAAGGCACAGGTGGAACACACATATATATGTGTTATATATGACCGTGCAGCATTTTTTTTAGCACTATACAGGTTTCTACAATGTCCTGCGTCACACTGAACCATTCCTCCGAGTCAAGTTCAAGTAATTCAAGTTAAAGTGTAATGCCTGAGGTGAAAGCTCTACCCAGAGGGATAAACACTCGTGTGCGCATAGGAAAAGATTACATGCCTCCTATTTCTGTAACGCAAAGCTCTTTAAAAGAATTAGCCATGTGAGTGTGTCTGGCTGAACACAAAGATATACCTCTAGATGCTTGACTTCAGCACGGTGGACAGACTACCTGAGGAAAAAAAACACACACACACACAAAAACACTGAACAGGCTTTCAAAATGCTGGTGTCAATGCTGACGGCAATGTACATGTTGGTGAGAGTTGCTGAACAGGTAAGGCAGCTCTTTAGATTATATCTTTGTGCATGTCACCTATCGAGAACATATCAATTGTCTGAGATTCTTGTCTTGTTTTATATGCCAGGCATGCTATGAAAAAAATGTGATGGACATATAAGATAAATTGGCTCACAGAGGCTACTATTGCAATCGCTATTAGTGTAAATTGCACAGTATTTTTTAATCTGGCTTAACAGCATAGGAGAATTAAGGAATTTGCATTACACAAATGGAGGCAAAATGAGGAACAGTGTTTTAATGTTCAAAACAAGGTGCTAAAATGGTTTATAAACACTTATTATTGTATTATTTTGGATATGAGTGATTATAGGGGCATTTTGAGTCACTTAGACACTTAAAATCAATCTCACTTGTTTAATTTGTAAACATACTCTATTTTGAAAATTGTGGCAAAAGGCTATTAAATAATGCTCATGTGTCAAATACAAACCTTTAAACCTTTAAATTGATTTTGACTATAGCTATCATTAGATTATGAGTAGACTGTCTTTATAATAACTGCTTATTATTTATTATGGTAGCCTATAAGAATCCTTCCAAGTAGGTCTGCTTATTATATTAACCCTAGCCTGGCAGTTAGGTTAATTAGTGGCAAAGTCACTTATGTAATCAACCGAGTTTCTAAATGGCATAATTAAAAAGCCAGTTAGAACTGAACAGAAACCATTTAAAACTGTAACTTCAAATTCAGTGTTGTTGAAACACTTAAAACCATGGTATATTATGCTAATTATTTAATACCGTGGTATTCACAATAACATGGTAGCATTGCATTGCCACAGTATACAATTTATATGTAGTTCTATAAAAGGAAGTTGTGAAGCCCAATTGACTGTACTAGCAAACCTCAACAGACTTTTAGGATTTGTTGGATCAACGCGATACCATTCTCCGTGTTTATTGGCATCTTTTGGAGCTTGTTGTTTGTGTTCATCTGCTTTTCTCAGTATGCTGAGAATTGGCCTTAATTTGAGAATTGATCAATTTTGGCTGCATCATCTTCAGGTCTCTTTAATAAAGACATCAGCATGCATGACATTAATGCACTTGATAAACAATGCAAATGAGAATGCAGATAGCATGTTGCTTAGGTTTTAGCACGACTGCTCTGTTTAGACCACAAGAGTTGATTTAATTTACAGCAGACAAGATGGAAGCTTTCTAATGACAGCTTAGCATGCAAGATCATGACACATCATGAGTCAAACCGAAAGACTTGACGCCACTTTAATGAGGCGAAATGTGGTGTCTAATGGAAAAGCGTACAAATTGTACTTTGTTTCACACGCATACTGGAACATACATATGGATCCATATGTATATACTAAAATTGTACATTTCTTTCAGCTGGGTGTCCGATGGGTACGGCAACAGGAACCTCTTCCATATATGGTGTCTCAGCCGCTGCCATGGCAGGTTCATTCAGTCTCATATAGTCGAAAAGGAAGTCGATCAGAGGAGGTGAAATTCTTAGTTATTGCCATCATTATATTACTGCCCAAAGCCCAAAACTAAAGATTTATTCAAAGATGAATACTTAGAAGATGCTGGAAACACTCCCCTTTTAAATTTGTTACATTTCTCTTCGTCACTTTAAAGGGCACGTTTTTTTTTATGATTATGACATATGTGTTGTATTAGTTTTTATTGTGAAACTTTTTGTGCTGCCATTTTGGGATTCCCTGCAAGAAGAGATCTTGTAATCTCAATGGGATTATCTTGGTAAAATAAAGGATAAATAATAAACAAACAAGCAAACAATCAAATAAATAAAACCAGAAAGGCCCATTTACATTACACCAAGGACTTGGTGTCTAAAAATCTTAATTTGAAAAAAATTGGAATACCTCACCAACTGTCACATTAACAGCACAAAGAAAAAATATCGTTGGATCACTTTCAGATCTTGTTTCCACATTATGACCAATAAAAACAATCAGAATCATCTTCCTTTAACTCCTTATGCTGCAGGCACACTAGAGTTTAAGCTTGAAAAATTCTGTCTTATGTTGCTGCAAAAAGTGTCGGGAATAAACAAGATGATTACATAAAGAAAGTGAGCGATTAATTCATATTTGAAATTTCTGTACAGAGAAGATATGTTTTGATCTTCGATTGGTCTCACGCCACCTCATTCGAATGTTATCAATCAATTGAATTGGTGTTATCAGTGGATATCAGCTGATAGATATGGGCCTGTACGGGGCTTATGCGCCTAGGAAGGCTGTAATCATCCAGAAGGCTGTAATCATCCATTCACATTTGGATCTATTTTTAATAAATAAAATAAATAATTCTCGTTAACTTTTGGCCAAAGCTGTATGTGATCTATAGCTAATCTATAGATGAACCATGTGAATGGATGATTATAGCCTTCTGAGCCTACTAGTAGGCGCAGAAGGCCCCTACTGACCCATATCTATCAGCTAATAATCACAGATTACGTCTATTTAATCGAGTGATAAAATTCGAACTGGCTGCTCACATAGTCACACGATGCGATTTCGCAGGTCAGAGTTCACCAAGCAACTCTTTTGTTGCACAAGGCTGTGTTTCTGGTCTGCCACATTCGCATGAGTATAAATGGAAGTCTATGGGGTGAAAAGTGCAGTGTGACCATCCAGCTTAAAGCAACAAATTTCGCAGTTCGCTGCTTTGCAAAGTTCAAGCATGGTGAACTCTGACCTGCAAAATATCATCACATGATTGTGTGAGAACAATAAAATATCAAAACATGATCTCTCGGTACAGAAATTTTAAATATGGACCAATTGCTTCCTTTTTTTATTGTCCTTATTCCCCCTTTTTGCAGGCCCATATGACAGAGTTTTGCATGCTCAAACTGACCGCGACTTAAGTGGTAACCCCACTTTATATTTGAAAATTATAGGTGATATATGCGTAATGTAAATAGTCTGTTAAGATTAGTTCAGGTTTAGACAATTTATATATGAAAAGTTCAGATGCAAAACCCTTTAAATCCATCTGACCTCTTTTTTTTTTTTTTTTGTAAATGAGCATTTTCTATCAGGCTCAGATAATTAGGTAAGAAATGTCATTGTATATGTAATGAAAAAGGTTATTAGCTAGTAAATAAAATACTTTTTTTCCCCAAAAATTTCACTTTAGACAATTATTTGGCTTTTAACAAGGTAGATTTTCTTTTGCGTCAAAACCAGCTAAATCCACTTGTGATTTTTTTTTGCAAAAACCTCTAAATCCACCTTATGGAACAAGACAGTGTAATTAGCTAAAAATCACTAAACATGCAATTCTAAATTATTTTTAACAAACATAAAACACTCTACACAAACCACCTAAAATAAAAAATAAAAAATGTAAAAAAGCATAAATCTGTCAAGTAAGTGACGGTTCATTCCACTGTGATAAACCAGGGCAAAAAAAAAAAAAACGTTATGAATGCATGCTTCTGACTGCACATTGTGTTAACTTTTTTATATAATGCAGAGTTTTGCGGTAAGAGGCGTTTTTATTTACCATTCAGTGTCAGTCGGACAGGCTCATCTACTTCATCAAACTCAATTTTTTTTAAACAAAATCAGAATCGGAATAAAACAGTCTCCTCATAAAAGCCGACATATCAGCGCGCTGCTACATTGAAAACATATGATTCGATTTGCCCCTTCGGATTGGTTCTCGGGATATAGCGGCTTTTGCTGTCAAAGGCAAGTGGCGTTCAGCAGCTTTTGCATACGAACTGTTATTTCTGAATAGTCTGAGGCTGTAATTTAGATGATTTGAAGCAAAATTATTTGTTAAATATGTACTATGTGTCTAAAACATTTGCTCAATGTCATTAGCTCATTTTTGGCAAAAGTGGCGTTTAGCAGCTTTTGCATCTGAACTCTTCCTATTTAATTTATATATCTGTGTGTGTGTGTGTGTGTGTGTGTGTGTGTGTGTGTGTGTGTGTGTGTGTGTGTGTGTGTGAGTGTAATATTTCGCAAAGTCCGTCAATAGAGGACAGTTAAGGGTTTAAAGTGATGAGATCAATCCAAACAGCAGCTAATGCTTTAAATCAATAGAATGTACAAGTGTGCAACATTTACAGTTTTATTTATATACTTTAATAGGTATTGTCAAAAGAAGTTTTGGTAACAAAAATGGAACCTTTATAATTGCTTTGCATTGTGATATTATTGTCATGATTATTAAGCCCCTACAGGATGTCCCAAATTCAGACTGCAATGTGACTACAGCAATCTACTAATTAAATTCACTTTGAAAGGACTTTGCTCAGGGAACAAATAAACAGAGAGAGTGAAGGTGAAGGTGAAAGAGGGCAACTCTGGTGGGTAGACAGTTTTAATGCAGCCCTCACATATGTGTGTGACCCTTCTGCAATCCTTTGGTCTCAATTTAAGGTTCTTTCTTATGCTGTTGGTTTCCATGTAAACTACATTTTCTAGGCATTGCATCCTCTTTTATCTTTCCTCTGCAGTTGCGCAATATGATTAAGTCTTAATTCCAGTGGCTGCCAGACTATAGTAAAGTAGGTACCGTTCAAGGCCAACACACAATTAAAACATTCCCTCACTGTTAACCTCAGAAAATCTAGGCTTGGACATCACTCAGGTGCCTGTAATCCAATAGAGAGGGATTTGTGTCTTAATGCATTTCAGTCTCTAGAAGAGAAGTCTGTGTGGACATCCCGAGCTTAAACAACATGTTTCATACAGCTACCATTAGATATCAATGATTAATTGATCCCTAGATATAAGTTTATTTCCATTTGGATCCTTAGTTTTAACAAGTGGTTTATAGAGCTGAAAGGTTGTTGACAAATTTATGCAGAGTTTATCACAGGGCACTAATTATAGAGACAATCCCCCGCAAGACTCCTTACTAAAGAAAGTAAAGTCGCTTTACTTTTGGCATGTGGTAGTTTGTCAGAATAGTCGATCATGCTTATAGTTATTTATATTTGATGACGTTTTAGCTCTTTTGTTTGCCAACTGTAATGTTTGTCTGGGATTTGAGCTGTAGCATGATATATACACTCACCTGATACTTTATTTACAACTTTTCAGTAACCCAAAATTCTAATCAGCCAATCGCATGACAGCAACTGAATGCATTTAGTCATGTAAACATGGTCAATGCATACAAGTTGAAACTGAGCAATAGAATTGAGAAAACAAAAAGACTATAGAATACATAAGACAAATCACTCGTATCGTTTTGAATGGAGAAAAGTGTAATGGTCAATATGGCAAATGAAGCCCACCTTCTGGTACAGGAGCCAATCATTCATTGTTATTTGGCAACTAAAGCCCACCTTCTAGTACAGGAGCCAAACATCAGTCGCTAGACTGACCATACTCCAGGGAAAGGGCTCAGACTAGATGTGAAATAATGCATATTTTGTTTGAATTAGACATTTAAAAATGAAACTCAAGAGACAGTTATTGTTTGATTTTATAGGTAATTCCTAATATGAAATGCAATCAAAGGCTTGGCAAGCAATTTTGTAGAATTTGATATTTCTCCATTTAAACAGAATGCCCAAGCATATTGCCTGAGAGGCATTGAAAAAATGGCCGCCCAGTGAAATGACTTGTCTTAAAAGAACTTTGACTCAATTCAAATGCCTACACAGTCTGTAAAAAGAGTTTTCAGTAAAAGAAAATCCAACCCGGTACTGAAAAGTGGAACCTAAAAGTGTCTAGTGCGTAATCGTGTTACCATTATCAATCAAGAACACTATTTTGTCTCCAACCAAAGATTCTCCTCTCAGAAATAAAATTACAACAGGTGACTTTTTTTTCCAAAAGGTGCATATCTGTGCCTAAAGGGATACAAACAATATCTAAAAAAACATCTTGAGATTTTAGAGCATTACCATCTACCCTTGAGGTGCCAATATGGACTCTTTAGGCACAAGTGTGTACCTTTTGAAAAAAGATACATTTGTTTCTGACAGTGTGCCAAAGATTTAGGGCAAGCCATGTTGAGTTGAATAGTCTTGTAAGACCTTAACTGGCTCCAAACTGAATCCAAAGGTTGCGGATTTGCAATCAAAACCCGCAACCTTTGGATTCAGTTTGGAGCCAGCTAAGGTCTTACTAGAAGCTCTTTCACTGTCTATACCAGGGGTGCTCAATGTTGTGTAAGTTGAATATTAGACCACTTACAGGCTGGCTTTTAACAATGTATGTTTTTTTTAATATCAACTTAACTCAGAACATAGCGCTCTCTTACAGCATCACATGCGCTCCCGTGTTTTTCTATTTCTCTCTATCATTTCCTTGATGAACTTAACTGACTCTCATTCTAGCCAATAGGAACATGGAATGTCCTGCTTGTATAACATCATTGGCTTAGAGTTAAACACAAACATTACATCCACGTTCTTTTAAAGTGAGACAACATATAATGTATGACAGATAATGAAAAATTAAGTTTCCCAAAAGGCATGAACACCCGCATGTTACTGAACT